ACATTTAGGAACTAGAGGAAAGTTGTATTTCTCATCGTTGTTACAACTCTTTGGGTTAAAAGTAATCATTTAATACTGTGGACAATGTTGCATTTCCTTGTCACATCTCGCTTACACGATGCTCAATAGATACTCCAGACTCGCAGGATTCGGCAGAGCCTGTTAGTTTCTGTTTAGATACGGAGCTCTGGTGGCACCGTGCGGAGGCCCGGGGTTGCTAACACCAGGTCAGCCCTTTGAAAGCACCAGTCTCCTCGGGAGAAAGATGGGGCTCTCTGCCCCCAGCAACAGTGACCGCCTCGGGTACTCACAGGGCCAGTTCTCCGCTGCCTGTAGGACGGCTGAGTGGCCTGACTCGATGGCAGTGAGTTAGGTGTTTTGGTTTGGGGGGCATCTGCATCAGGGGTTGGGCGACTACCACAGTTGGCAGTTCAACCCCCCCAGCCACTCCTTGCTAGTAGGGTGAAGCAGTTTGCTCCCCTAAAGATGTATTGCCTTGGAAACCCTGTGGACCATTCTCCCCCGTTCTGTAGCGTCTGTGCTGTGAGTTGGCACCTGTTCAGTGGCAGGGGGTTGGTTTAGTCTGCGTGTGGTTTTATAATACTCATTTCCTTACATACTTGTCTACCTGGAAAACCAAAGCCAGACTCACTCCATGAGTCAGTTACAGAGACCTCTGTGCGTCCGGGAGCACCGCTCTTTACAGGAGCAGAAAGCCCAGTCTTCCTCCCGAGGAGCTGCTCGTGCCTGCAAACTGCCCACCACACGGAGTGCAACCCCATGCCTAATCACTACACCACCAGGGATCCTTAGATGTCTGCTTAGAAACCATCATCTTAAACTAGGCATAGAAACTTTATAAAGCGTACCCACCTTCTGCTGGTCTCAGTTGCCTCCCGTGCAAGACTCGTAGGAAATAGTGTATGCTTTTTCTCAGGGGCTCACCCACAGATGGGAAGCGACCGGCCAGGCTAGCTGCCCAAGCAGAGGCCCTACCCCCATGACCACTCCTGTATGGTCCTGGCAGGACATCTTTCTGGTCATGTAGCATTGCTCAGTCCCAGAGGCTAGGTGTCCTATCGATGTCCTGCCAACACAGCCCTTACGAAAAGTACGTCACGTGTCCCCAAACACCCACACGTCCTCTATTGTTTTCCACGCAGAGCCACCGGGAATGCTTGTGAGAACCCAGCTCCCTGGTCTCTGTCAGCGTTTCTGGCCCTTGGGTCACGTGCGTACAGAGTCTATGCAGTGGTGAAGGTCAGGAGCCAGCAGGTGAAAGCATTTTCACCAGGCGGCCCTTGTGTGGCATTAGCTCCTCGCCAGACAACACACGATACGTCTTTGAGCGTGAAAACGCCAGCTGTCCCATATGGTGCCTAGAACAGAAACCTCATAGCCCCTCTCGCCAGCCTGGCCTAGTCTCTGTGAAGACGAGAGTGGTGGTGTGTGTGTGCTTGCTCAAAGCTGGTGATTTTAGGTCCGTCGCTGCCCCACCCACAAGCACTCAAAACACGACCACCATAAAAGACTGGAGGGGTTGTGACAACACTGTAGTCTCAGCTGATGCAGAAATGCACCCTGTGCTGAACCCAGGGTTGTCAGCAGGGGGCCCTCCCTTGGAAGTACCAGTGTGTTTGGAAGGAAGTCGGGGCTCACCGTAAGCAGGGTACATTGTTGTATTCCACTTGCCTGCATGCTGGAATGGCGTGGAGGGGGAGAGAGAGTTGGGGGGGGGGTGTACAGCCCACGCACAGCGCCCCTCATCCCTCCCTGCTCTGCCGCTGTCTGGAGCCAGTGCACTGGGCTTTGCTGACTAGGGCCAACATTGGCGTGTACACGTGTGCTTTTACAACCCAGGAATGGAGAAAACGCTCTGCCCTGTGTGGCCTGTTCTGTTGCTTCCCAGAGAAGGAAGACCTGTGTGTGTCTTCGGTCCTGCCTCCCCCTCTCCTGGGAGTGGCCCCATAGTTCCGTGGCTGGACGAAGCCACTCCGGGAGTTTGGGAAATGGAGTGGGCATCGGTCTGCTCTTGTTGAGTGTATTAAATCCGGGCAGTTAGTCAATTAACTGCCTTAGGACCTGACCCATACTTCCCTGAAGAAACCACTCTGACCTCCCGCCACACACACTGCCATCACAGGTGTAACTGCCTCCTATTTAAGCCAGAAGTGCCCCTGCCCAATGAAGGCTGTGTCAGGGGGGAGAGGGGCCAGGCCTTGATTCAACACAGCCCCGTCACCGTGGTGGACTTATTCTTCTGGGAAAGGAGAGGGAGTGCCCCTGGGGTCCCAGGGCCCCCGGGGGGGCTGTGGCACTTGACAGTGACTCCTCAAGGATTCTGGGAAGGCCAGAGGAAGCATGCCCACAGGGAACATAAGGCCCACAGCTAAGGCAGACCTTACGCTCCCTGTTGGCAGGAGGCAGGAGGAGCACCCAATGAACCGCTTCCTCCAAGTGCCCTCCCCTCTCAAAACAATAGAGCACGAAACCTTGCACACGAGTCCTGTCTTTGCACACCCAAAATAAGTGACGGAGGAGGAAGGACTTGGGGGGAATTCAAACCAGAAGGGGCTTCAAAAAGTTCGTGGGGGAAAATATCCCATTCACTTTTCATTCCATTTCTCCTGAAACTTTTTTTTAAGCCCCCTCATCTACGCTTCTGCTAATCATGGTTTAATTTTCAAGTCAATATAAAGCAGTCATGCTAACTACCTTAACACATAACGCTCTTTGGGGGGAGGAGATTCAGGAAATGGCTTCTGTGTGTACATTAAAGTGTGTCAGGTAGGAAGTGGGATATGACTGCAAAAAAAAATTTTTTTTTTTCAAAAACAACAGGTAATCATTTATTAGACATAATGACAGACCCCCAGAACCCCTTCAGCAACACAGATGGCTACGTCTGTTCAGGAGCCTCTGGAGGAAGGGCCTGGCCGTGCAGTTCTGCTCAGACCCACAGGGGGGCCTCCATGAGTCACGGGCGCCCGGGTTTCTTGTCGGAGCGAGGGGGTGGGGTCCAGCAGCCCCTGGTGACTGCAGGCCCGTGGCCGGCTGTCACTTGGCCACTTTTCCTTGGCATCAGAGTTGCTGGAATTCCTGGAGCTGGCTCTGTGAACACCTAGTAGGCATATGTGGCCACTTCATCAGTGAGCTGCATTTTCACATTCATCTTGCTTTTATTATTAGCATTATCACTATTATTATTATCACTCCTTTCCCCCTTTTCCTTTCCAAAGGGTGTCTCTTCCTAATTCCTCCCCTGCTGGACCCCCGAGAGAAGCCCAGGCAAAAGCAGCCCCTTCTTTGAGCACAGCGGCCTCCTTGGTGTAATCTCTCAGCTGCTTTTTTGAGGTTTCACACATTCACAAAAATAACAGCATTTTTAGCTGATCCCAATAGATTTCTCGCTGCAGCTGCATCAGTTGAAAAAGCTTTTTGTTCCAGTTCTTAAAGTCTAAGTATTGAAAGTGATTTGAAAAGGCCGGCCGAGGAAAACAACTCCATTGGAATGTGTGTGCTGTGCTAACTTGACGGCCTGCCTGGCCTGCCGGCAGGCTGCAGAAGGCACAGGCGTTTGGGCACCCAGCGAGCCACTGCCGATGCCTGCGCGTGGTTGGCGGGGGGGTGAGAGGGCTCTACTGGCAGGCCTCTGGTCTCAACCTGCAGTGATGCTAAAGATACTAGCAAAGTAGCATCACGAAGCCTGCCAGCTTATGCACCTGAACCCTGCTTGCTCACTCCCTGCTGTCCCCAAAACTAGTGAGTCTCAGACAATACACGAATATGTAGTGGGCAATATGCTCGACCTTTTGTAGCACTCCTCTCCCCCAACCCTGGCATGCTCTGCTCCGTGTGCCCCTCAGTGGGTCCTGGGTGCCTGCCCTCTGGCCCGTTTGTCTTGGTTTGGGGAGGCTTTTCCGTTTCTGCTCGCTCGCAGGCCAGTGGTGCTCGTTGGGGGCTGCCCTCCTCCCTCTGCTTTCTGGCGGGTCCATATGGACCCATTGCCTGCAGGTGGCTTTCCATCTGAAGTCAGCTGCTAGTCTCTGGATGGCTGCACAGGCCCCGCCTGTCACCTGTTCTTCCCTTGAAATAAGTCAGACACACACATGTGTTTGGCCTTTTTTGCTTCCCAGAGATCCAGGTTCACCAGCACCGTTTGTTAAGAGATGATCTCATCCCCCTTCCATGTGTTCCGGCCCTTGGCCGACAATCTGTTGTCTGTTGGAGGAGTTTATTTCTGGGTTCTCTATTCTGCCCCATGGGTCTGCCTAGGTCCCAGGGTACCAGAACCAGGAAGTTCTGACGGCCAGAACCGGGTAGCAGGTCACGGAGTCAAGAAGTGGCCTTCGTACACATGCTTGGCTCACCTGCATCCCTGGCCTCTCCGTATGAAGTTGGTGATGAGTTTTCCAGCTCTCTAAAGAATGATGATGCAGGGATCAGAATCGGAGCTGCGCTGGATTTCTAGATCCTGTTGGGGGTAGTGACATTTTCACTAGGGGAAGTCGTCCTAGCCATGAACCAAAACCCATTTTTTTTTAATGTGATAAGATGTCCATTTCTGTTTGCGAATGTTAGTTGCTTCTGAGTCAGCAACGACTCCTGTAAAACGGGATACAACGTTGCCTGTCCTGCACAGCTACGAGCAAACGTTCAGTGCCGCTCAGTACCTATTCAGATTCCTAGTGACCCCCTGAGAGAGAGTGGAGCGGCCCCATTGGGCTTCCAAAGCTGGATATCCTCTCTTGGGGGAGCACACCTTTCTCCTGAGGAGTGGTGCAGGGTTCAAACCGGTGACCTCTCTATTAGCTGCCTCCACACTGGGTGTGCGGATCAGCCGTGTTTGGATGAATACGCACCTTTCCTCGGGTGCATACCAGAGCTCAACACAGAGCCCTGTGCTGCCTGGCCTCGGAGAGGGTGGATCACCAGAGGCTCTCCCGGAAGATACTGGTCACTAGGAAGCCTCGCCTTTCAGAACGTCTCCTACCATCATTCTTGACTCACCCCCCATGGTCTTCCTCATGGGACACCAGGCCACACTCAGAAGATAGGATTTTGAAATGAGTCCGCATGAAACATCAGATGCTTCGCTAAACTATTGACGGTGTAAGTTTAGGGAACTCAGTTGGTACTGAACCCTCCATTCCCAGGTTTGGAAAAACAGCTTGTGATTTCAGCCAAATGCCCAGTGCACTCGCCCTCAGCTGTTGGAGCTTGGAGGGACCAGCATTGCTGCCAGCCGGCCTTGAGTGGTTGGGACTGGAGTGGGGCAGACATCCCTCGGATTCCATGAGCTCCAGGCTGGACCACCCCAAGAAAGAGAGTCACCCCGCTGTGGCGGTTCCGGGTTTGTCTGTCTGTTGGAGGGAGGGGTGCACTGGCTTCCCAGTGTGCATAGCAGGTCTGCTGTAGTCTGGGATGTGTGTTTCCAGTATTCAAAGAATGGCCAAAAGGGGACCCAGGGACCAGGGAGCATGTGCTCCCGGGGAAAGGGTCGCAGACTTTAAGTTTGACAAAGAGCGGAGGTATGCCCATACAGCGGAGGGTTGGTTTGTGTTTTTTTGAAGCTACAGCGTTGCCGGCTGCGGTGCTTCGGATCCTGCAGGAGGTGGCTGCCCGAGCTAACGACTGCCCTCTGCCCCTCTGCCTTCAAGGGGAGTCCGCTGGCTGCCAAGGCCGTGCGTCCGTGGGGACACAGCCTCACGAGCACACCCGTAACCCTCCGCGAGCTCTCTCTCTCTCCTGTTTTTGATTAGCATCTGTGGGTCTTGCAGATATGGTGTCTCCTGGAGAGTCCAAATTGCCCCTCAAAGCCGACGGCAAAGAAGAAGGGCCCCCGCCGCCCGAGAGCAAGTCAAAGGTACGCCCCTTCTGCCCTTTTCTCGTTTCCACTGACTCCTCTGCTGCAGGCGCCAGCCTTGCTCCATGCCCGTGTCTCTGCTTTCCCCAGCCCGTCCCCACGTGGAGCTGACAGTTACTAGTTCTCAGGGCACCAGCCTGGGCGGCCAGGGGCAGAGCCAGCTGGGAACTGCTTGGGGGAGGTGGGGACAGGTAAGGGGTCTTGCTGGGTTGGACCCTTGCAGCCACAACATGCCCACTAGTTTGCTTTCCCGGCTTATTCGGTAATCAAGGTGCCCCGCTGTTGTTCTTTCATTTCCGTTTCCTGGTCTTTCTTCCATAAAGGGTAACTAACCCATGCTTAGCATGCCGTGTCAGCTTGAGGTAAGCATGCTGGCTCCGTTGCCTTCTCCAACATCCAGCAAGCTGACCCGATTTCACAAATTGCGAATGAATGTTGTCTGAAGCGCTTGATACAGCACCCGTTTGTGTGTTTGTGTCTTTATATATGTGTGTGTATATGCATACATACATAGATTCAGTCTAAAAAAAGGTAGTCTGTTAAACTGGATGTGCTTGTGATATTTTAAGTGAAGTTTGCCCTACCTTTGTCATTTTGTTTTTTATTTCTCTACCACAGGACAGCTACAGCACTCAGGGTATTTCCCAGCCCCCAACCCCAGGCAACCTGCCCGTCCCTTCCCCCATGTCCCCGAGCTCCGCCAGCATCTCCTCCTTCCACGGAGATGAGAGTGACAGCACCACCAGCCCCGGCTGGCCAAAGACCCCATCCAGCCCCGTAAGTGGCTCTGGGCAATCGTTCGTTCGGTTTGGGGTTTTGGTGTCGGGGCAGAGGGAGGGTTTCGGATAATTAACGGATTCTACTTTAATGCGTGCTGGTTGGTATGTTTGATAAGACTTTATTCTTCCTGAGAGAAGAGCAGGGTGGTCTTTATTTGTGACAACGTGAGGGGAAAAAACGAGTCAAGGTTGGGGGCGCGCCAGCGGGTGGCGTTCGGGAAGGAATGGCACGAGGCAGCAGGGACTGCTGCTGGGTCCTCCCCTCCTCGCACCTGGCTCGGAGCACCTAAGGAGGCTTACGTCTGTGTTGGCATGGAAACCGAGAGCAGCCCGCCCCTTGGTGGGGGCCAGAGTTTCACCTGGGCGATTCTAATCAGAACATCTTATTTAAAAACAACCCCCTGGAAAAATGCCGGCCCCACAGTCGGGCGCCGTCCTGGCTGTCCTCAGCCCACCGGTCTGAAGCGGCCAACGTTTCCTTGTCCAAGCCTTCAGGTTCTGACACTGGAGAGTCGAAGGGGTGAGAACAGTGTCCCGTTCTGCTGATCGTCCGAGTTGAGCCTCGATTCCCACGGGCTAGCCAAAAGCCATGCGTGGCAGTGTAAAAATCAGCTTTTTTTTTTTTACTTTAATCTTCTTCTGGTTGGAGAACCGGGCCTCTTCCCCCTAGAGAAATTAATTCTGCGCCCTAATAAAGAGAGTAATGGCTGTCTCACCCAAACACACCACCATCGAGTCGTTGCCAACGCATAGCGACCCCGGAGGACGGGGCAACTGCCCCGTGAGTTTCCGAGGCTCACTCTATGGGCCTGGAAAGCCCCTTCTCTCCCCCTGTGGTTCTATAGTAACCTGTATAGGTTACTTTCTGTATAGTAACCTTTATGGACTATCAGAAGATGTCTAAAAAAAACCCAAAATATAGCATGCAGTCACTTTGCCAAGAAGCCCTGCCGGGTCCCCAGTCGGTGTAAGATGAAATGTGGAGAGCACAGCTTGGGGGATGCTGTTGACGGGACGAGAGCCGGACTCCACATCCCCAGAAGGGCGGCTGCTATTAATTACCCATTAACTGACTTAGCCAGAGCAGGGGGGCATGGGTAGCTGGCCGTGCCAGTACACGTCGGGGAAGCCCACCCAGAGCGCCAGCGTAGCCAGCATTTTCCTTTCCAGAGGATGCTGGGCGGCGGGCAATCTCCGTCCCTAAATGTGTATGGTTTGCTCTTGTGGCCGCTCCTCGGATGGTTTGGAATCCAATGTCTGTGCGCTCCGCGTCCCTGAAGGCAGCCAGCATCAAGCCCGTGGTGGACCCTGGCTTGGTTTGCAATGCTTTTTTTAAAGAAAATAAATAATTCTAGGGAAAGCATTTTTGAATCCGTAATATTCACAAGCTCCCAGGCAGAGTTTCTGTTTAACTTTTGTCAAGCTTTGTTAGCTCACTTTAGAGCTTGAAAATCTTTGAAAGGTTCCTCGGACAGCCACTAATAATCATTCACGCAGCAAATGACGCTCCGTGTGGAAGTGCCTGGGGCCTCGGAATTCTGAGCGCCACTTCCTGTATTTTCACTGAGCAGTGGCAAGATCGCTCAGCAGGGACTGTGTGATCAAAACCCCGTTTTCTACCCAAATTTAAGGGGGAAACGCCAACTGTCTGGCTTCCTTTTCTGATACTAACACAATCGCACTGAAATCACACATCGCTTTCTCTCCCCCCAAATACCCCTCTCCACGTGACCCATCCTGTACCCCCAAACAGTCTGTGTTGAACGGATGAGCAGACTGCCCCCAGAGGTAGCTCAGGTGAGAACCGTGGTTCTTAGTGGCAGAGGACCCTAGGCTGCCGCTTCACCCACTGGGCCTCCCGGGCGCTCGAGCACCGCACCTCTCTACCTCCGAGGAGTACTGAACTACGTCGTGAGTTTGACACTTGGGATGGCTCTCCGCTGGCTCCCTCAGGACAGCTCCCTGACAGCAGGCCCTAAATGGGCTAGCTCTAAAGACATTCTGCGCTGTGTATCACAGACCAGCGTTGTTTTGTTTCAAAACACTCCAAAATAAAATTAAACATTTGCGTGCATACACACATACAACCCGTACACATATCACCAGGCATATGGTACAGACTGCTGAAGTGTAAATCTGCCCAAGAGAACGGGAGGGGAACATATACTTCTAGACTCCATGAAGTCACACACCAGGAAAGCACATGGGGCACCACACCGCCTCCTGGTAGGGCCTCCGCAGTTTCCACCCCAGCCCCGGCCTCCACCCCAGGGGCCTGAGAGCAGAAACAGATGACCCTGGCACCGTACAGGTGGGCAGAGAGCGGGGAAGGGGGACCCTTCTTGGGGAATGCCCAGCTGAGTCATATCATCCTGACATTTACCCAGAGGTAACATGGGGCTTGTGTCCGTGGACATACAGGGAGGTGGGAAGAGCTATCAAGCTCCCCTCTGTGTGCTTAATCCCACGTGGCATTTGTTTCTGGCCCCACCCCATTGCTCTGGGAAGCAGACACACCCCAGCAGGAACATGGGTCTCCAGCTAAGCGGACAGTAAGGTCAGGGGCTCAAAACGAGAAATGCTGGCAGTGGACGGGCCACTAGACTCTGGGCCACTGTCACCACTTGGCCCCATGAGACCCTTTTAGAGGCCAGTTGAACAGGCTGTGAATCGTCACACCGCTTCTGGAACACCCAGCCCTCTGGCGCCTTCTATAAGCAGAGCGCCAGGTTAAGTGTTGCTGATGGACATTGGACACAGATCCTTCCTTATGGGCCCTGAGCCCTGCTCAGGAACGTGGATAAGAGCCAGTCCACAAAGGCACATACTGGTACACACATGTAACATGTGCAACAGGGTGGTACGGAGAGCCAGTTCAGATCAGCATCCGGGCTCCGAAGGCCTCCACACAAAACAGGAGTCTGACCAGGTCCCTGACGGATGGCACACCTTCTTACACGATGGTGCAGTGGGGATGTTTCCTAGGAGATCCGGAAGTCAGGAAAAAGTAAACTTTCCTCTAAAAACGTATCTTCATTAAGATGATTCTCACTTAAAAGCCCATTGGGACACACGGGGCTTCATTAAGTTTCTTTTAACAGGGGTGAGAGTAAACAAAGATGGCCCGTGGTCAGCTTGTAAGGTTAGGAAAATCCTCCCTCGTGGGAGCCAGGATTTCCTCGGGCCATGGCTGGGCTTGCTCCCAGCTCTGCTCCAGGGCCCCAGCCATGAGGGTGCAGACGGGGACTCGGAATGGCACTTGTCGGAAGTAGAAAATGACTGCTTCTGTGTGACCTGCCCTTCAGCCGAATCTCAAACTTGGGCCTCGCGGGTTTTTTTCACAAGTGAAATGCCACTGGGAACTTTTTTTTTTCTTTAATCATTTTATTAGGGGCTCATACAACTCTTATCACAGTCCATACATACGTCAATTGTGTAAAGCACATTTGTACATTTGTTGCCCTCATCATTCTCAAAACATTTGCTCTCCACTTAAGTCCCTGGCATCAGCTCCTCATTTTTCCCCTCCTTCCCCCCTCCCCCCTCCCTCATGAACCCTTAATTATAAATTATTATTTTGTCATATCTTGCCCTGTCCGACTTCTCCCTTCACCCACTTTTCTGTTGTCCGTCCCCCAGGGGAGGAAGTCACATGTAGATCCTTATAATCGATACCCCCTTTCCAACCCACTCTCCCTCTACCCTCCCAGTATCACCACTCACACCACTGGCCCTGAAGGGATCATCCGTCCTGGATTCCCTGTGTTTCCAGTTCCTATCTGTACCAGTGTACATCCTCTGGTCTAGCCAGACTTGCAAGGTAGAATTGGGATCATGATAGTGGGGCTGGGAGAGGAAGCATTTAGGAACTAGAGGAAAGTTGTACTTTTCATCGTTGCTACATCGCACCCTGACTGGTGGAACTTTTTAATAAATCTGATTTTTAAATGCTTTTGGTTTTTTCCTCCCTTGGCATTCTTATTTCGAATTTTCACTTTCTAGAACTATTGTATGCTGTTGGGTTGGGTTGGGTTTTTTTCAGTGTATTTTCCCCAAAAGGGAAAAAAATATTTTAATATTAACATTTAGAAATCTCAAGGTCATAATTTCCCTCTGAATGATGGTAAAATGTTTTGACATGATACTAGTGTGAGAATCGGGTAGAAAATGTTATAGGCTAGCTTCCTTCCCTATTCAAATAATCCTTGGTGGAAAAAAACAGTATGGAAACAAGGTTCTAAGCACAACGTTTGCATAGCGAGTGCCTTGCATACTCTTAGCCTGGCTATGCATACACAGCTATGTCTGTAGATACATCTGTTTGCATATGTATGCATCCATGCGTATACACACACGTGTATGCACACATGCACACACACACAGGTTCTTACCTTAAGTAAGTTTCAAAGCACTTTGTTTCACCCCAGGGCCAAAGTGCGTGGTCAGCGATCACGCTAGTTTTATCTGCATTTCCACTCCTCCGACGCATGTCCGGTTTACGTCCCTCGTTGGGTTTTTTAAGAAGCGGGACTAGTGAGCACTCTCCATGGAGGGAGCAAGAGACTGGTTGGTGTCAAGTTAATGACTGTGGGGAACGGCCTACAGCACATCTAAAACCTGCAGGTCTAGTGGCAGACTGGAGGTGCCCCAGGGGGTGTCCCAGAATGCACAGCCCAGAGGCCAGGGAGTAAGAGGGAGTTTGAGCAAGAAGTCTGCCCTCTGGGGGCACAGGACAGCCTAGGGAAACCTCCCTCTGCACCCTCACCCGCTCCCTTCTTCCCTCCCACCCACCCCCATCGAGCATCATTTGCTTCGCCTGAGGCCAGGTGGCTTAATCACACGTCACCACTAGACCTGTTGGCCAGGTCCACACGTAAAATGAGCCACCACACATCTGCGTGCAGAGCTGGTGCCTCAGTCATTCCAAGGCCCTGGCGTTAAAATCTGTAGCTGAGGCGGGAAGTTCCAGCGACGAAGCTCCCACGGGTCCCTTGGGGAGAGCAGTCCCTGACACAGTTCAGCCCAGCCTCAGACCTCATCGTCAGGCACCCAGCACGGTCTCTCCTGGGGGGGCTTCTGCCACCTCAATGGCAGTCAGGTTGGACAACCCCCAAAAAAGCGGGCAGGCTGGGGGTGGAGCTAGCGATGTACTTTAAATACTTGGAGGTAAATCATGGTGGAAATCAGCTTAGAAGAGCTCAGCCTGCCGTCGAGGCCATGCCCCTAGTAAACGAGGGTGTCGTGGGGCCGAGCTGAGGAGTCACTGCCCCGAGTGTCATTTCGGGTCCTGTGCTGGGTGGACACGAGGTGCTGCACACCTCAAGGCAGAGGAAGGGACAGAATGCAACTGGACCCTCGCATCAAACAGGATCGCTGCCCAGGAGGTGCTCCCAGTGTGTATCCGCTTCGGAGGTCTTTCAGATCGCCCACGCAGCTGTCCCCAGCCACAGAACACCAGGAACAGGGTGCACCGCATAACCCGCACCACACCAGACCGCTCCCAGCAACCCCGTGTAACAGAGTAGAGAGAGCTGCTCCCTAGGATTTAAAAACTTCAAATCTTTATGGAAACACACTGCCTCATGTTTCTCCCACAGAGCAGCTGGATGGTTCAAACCACCCACCTCACAGCATCCCATGGAGTCCCCAAGGCTCCTTCACAAAAGCCAGTGTATGTGTTTATCTGGAGGTCTGCTGGGAATAGGAAGCACTATGGTACTTTGTAATCAAAACACGTTGCTGAAGAATTAGGTGAATTATTAAATCGATCCTTCCCTTGACAGAGAATTCAAGAGTCTGAAATAGGGCACGTTGCTTTCCATAAATGAATGCCAAAGCTCCCACTGACCATTAGTTTATGGAAGTCCCCAAACCAGCCCGGAGCCCACATCGCTGCTTCCTGTAACGAGGGACCTCCCTTTCAGTTTCCCTCCAGCCCTGCGGGCTTGCTCCTCTTTCATATGGTCTTTCTCCTGGACAGTGCATGCCAGTCACTGTGGTTCTGACGAGAAGTGAGACCCCAGGTTGTCTTCAAGGCTCCGGTGTTATGGGAGGTGTTAGTACACACACACACACACACACACACACACTTCTATGGGATCTCCAAACTCAAATTCACTGCCATAAAATCCATTCGACTACTAGCAACCCTAGTGGACAACCCAACTGCCCGTGTGGGTTTCCGAGACTGCGAATCTTTATGGGGACGGAAAGCCTCTTCCTCCTCCCAAGGCACGTCTGGTGATTTTGAACTGCTGACCTTGTGGTTAGCAGCCTGACACACAACCTACTGAATCGCCAGGGCTCCCTCGATGGGATTAGACCCTTTTCTTTTTAAAATGATGGGAGGCATTACTGAAAACCTGCCTTCTCAGACTCAGCGCTTAGATCCATAGAGGGGAAAGAAATGTTTTAAAGGTGGTGGTATCTGTTTCTGCTTTTTAGATGTATTCCAGGGGGGAGCTGGCCCCTTTATTTAAAGTCAAAGTTCACTCGTGAATGAAAAAGATGTATTGTGTGTGCCTGAACCAGTAGCCTTCCTTCCTGGCTGTGGTGTAATAGCGGTAGTTTTTAAGTTTCCTCTCTCCTTATACTTGTCAGTTCATTGTGCTTCTCTCCCCCTCTTCCCTGCCCCTCTGCCCGCCCTGCCCACCTCCAAATGCTCTCCCTGGACTCCAGAAGTCCAGCTCATCCACCACCACCGGGGAGAAGATCACAAAGGTGTATGAGCTGGGGAACGAGCCAGAGAGGAAGCTGTGGGTGGACCGATACCTCACCTTCATGGAAGAAAGAGGCTCTCCCGTCTCCAGCCTGCCCGCCGTGGGCAAGAAACCCTTGGACTTGTTCCGACTCTACATGTGTGTCAAAGAGATCGGAGGCTTGGCCCAGGTAAGAGCGTGACAATGAGTGAGTGAGTGGATCTGGAGACCTTCCAGTACACAGACCCAAGGTTTGCCTCACAAAGACTGCCATGGACTAGACTCTGTGCTGTAGGGAGAGAAGGTTGGGAGCCCTGTGTCTGCCCTCCCACAAACCTCTGCAGGCCAGCTGAATGGACCTTCTTATAAACAGGGCCCCCCAGACCAGACCAGACCCCTGACTGCTATAGAATTCTGCAGAATGGGCCCAGAGTTCAGAATAAATACTCCAGAAACGTGTGTGCACTGAGTTAAAGATCAGGGTTAAATATCAGGTGGGTTCAATCTTTTCCCCCCTTTAGAGAGTTAAGCCATACATCCCAAACCACAGACGCACCAGGGGGGTGCAAAGGTCAGTGTTGGTGTTTTCCAGCAGGGTTGGGGTAGGAGGGAAGGATTTCAGGAGGCTGCGTGTTCACAGCTCTGCGGTCCCCACACCTTCACGTGTCTGACAGAGAGGGCAGGGAGCCCTCTTCCTAGCCTGCCACAAGTGCCACCCAATCCTGATGGTAGACTCATTAGTGTGGCATGTCCCACAGTGAGGTTGGGGCAGGGCCACCAGCATGGCAGGGCACCCTGTGGGCTGAGCACTGTGCTTCACCCCTGCTAACGCCTTTTGACTGTCTTTTCTGTGTGTCCGTAAGATGCTGGCATCCCTCACTAGGTGCCAGGGACTCAGCAAGAGGCAGAACGACACACTAGAGTGATTAACCACCATGAACAGATGAGGAAAATCTTGAGTAACCATTAAGAATCCTCCTGTGGTGGCCCAGAGGCACTTTGGGGGCGAGGGGGTGCCAAGTGTGTGCCTGTCTGATATAAAAAGCGTGCTTACTCACTCATCTGCCGTGAACAATTTCACAGCATCTCACCACATCAGAGATGCTGCTGATGAGCCTGGCCGACCCCCGTCTGTGCCCCAAGCCCACCGCCCCTTTTCAAACCCACGGTCCCCTGGCAGGCACGGGCTGGCTGGTGTCTGCGTACGACTCTGTAACAAGCCGTGTCCCATTCTCCTTTTCTACCTTGCAAAGCCCCGGCGAACCTGCTCGCCACCCACCGGGGAGTAAGCAGGCACAGTAAGCCAGTGCTCACCTTGCTGTTGGGGCCACTGGCCATGCTGCCCCGCATGACCGGTCACTCCAAAGTCCAGTGAGACAGTGGGCTCACATGGAGACCTTTGACCTTTTGGAAACCAAATTAATTTCTGATTTGAATCTTGTGTTTCCAGTAACGGAGGACCTTTTGAATGAAATGGGAGGAGGTGAAGTAACACAGACTTTCGTTTATTTAGTAGAACACATAATTTCCTGTGTGCCTCCGCGGCTGGGGTTAGTGGAAAGAGGCCTATTGCTTCAGACCTGCAGTTATACAAATGTCCACCAGATGGCAGCAGGCACCTAAAGTGGGATACATATTTCCCATAGAAACCGCAGAGTGAAAAAAGTGGGTTGGCACTATTTGTCCTGTGGGTCATGAAAAGGTTATAAACACTCACTACCCAGACCTTCCCCGGTTGTAAATGACCATTTCTGGGCCCAGGCAGAGCAACTATGCAGTCCAGTGGCCCCACCGCCCTGGGGCGCAGGGTTTTGGGGTTTTTTTCTTGCCTGACCCTCTCCAGTGGTCAGTCCCACTGGGAAAGTGAGAGTTGCCAGGGGGACAGAGAAGAACAAAACTGCCACCGAGTCAACTCCAGCTCAGCGCAACCCTCGGGCAACCCTTGTGGAACTTTAGAACACGGACCACACTGGGTCAGCGGGGTGGAGAGCCCCTGCTGGCTGCAGGGTGAGGGCCGGGCATGTGGCTGGTGGTGCAGAGGGGAGTGGGTGGGGCTAGCACAGCTGCCGCCCCTGCTGTTCCCTAAGTGCTTTGCTCTCCCTCCTGAGGTCCTGGTGTTTCCACGGACCTGGGGACCCTGAGGAGAAATCCTCAAATCCAGTGTTTTACTAAAAAACCACCAGTCCCTTCTTGTGCAACCCCCCAACACACACATGCACGCGCGCAGCATCAATAGGCCATGTGTCCCCAGGTGGTTTGCAAATCTTCCCCTTCCATTCGTGTAGTTCAGTCCCGCCTAACTGCCCCCAGTGGTGTCCCCAAGGTTGACTGACTGCGTGTTAGGTCTCTGTAGCACTGTAGGCTGTGTCCTTCACCCCGCTTTCTTCCTGGCTGGCTAAGCAGACACCCAAGTCCTAGGTCGAAGGTGGCAAGAAGGGCTGCCAGGGGTCAAAGCCAATGGCCCCCAGAGAGCCTGTCAGCAGGCCGGACCCGGCGTGGTGGCTTCCAGAGTCAGGTCAAGGCCTGGTTAGACTTGACTGGGAGCCACATGTCCCTACCTCTGCTGATGCCCCCAGGCCCCCTGAGGGGAACACTGAGCCTGGAGCTGCAGGCTCCCCTCCAAGGCCACTCCTGGCTGTCTGAAGGACACGTGGGTTACCCTACCGATACTTGCATTCTCTAGATGCACCATAGCTGCTGCTGTTTCCACTTCTCAGACTCTAGAGGCCTGGGTGTTTTTCATTAGAGGTGGGGCTGTGAGGCTCAGAGGTGAAGGGCGGGCATGCGGGCAGACACTCCCACCAGCAAAGCCTTTATGTCGCGATCAGCAGGCTCCTTGGTGCACCTCTGCCTGTAAATGCCGTCTGGGCACTTCTGTAGTTAAAAGAGGCAAATGGAAATGTACACACAAGGTCAGCCCTGACACGGAGAGCTTGTTTTCCCTGCCTCTCGACCTACACCAAGCCACTTTGCAGCAAACCAATGGTCCTGCCATTTTTCCCCACCCTGGCCAGGTGAATAAAAACAAGAAGTGGCGTGAGCTGGCAACCAACCTCAACGTTGGCACTTCCAGCAGCGCCGCCAGCTCCCTGAAGAAGCAGTACATCCAGTACCTGTTTGCCTTCGAGTGCAAGATCGAGAGAGGGGAAGAGCCCCCACCGGAGGTCTTCAGCACTGGGGACACCAAGAAGCAGCCCAAGCTCCAGCCACCCTCTCCTGGTGAGTGGGGGGAACTGCAGCTGCTGGGGAGGCCGCCACCCACCAGGTGCTAGGCTCTGGACCTTTGAGGGGAAGGGCTTTGTGATGGGTTGTTTTGATTTTTTTTTTTAATTATTGTTCTCAATTAATTGACCCTATGTCAACAGAAGGTAGAAAATACCCCGAGGGACACGGCCACTTCTGGGCAGCACCTGAAAGGCACTGCTCTCGGCCTTTGCCTCATTTAGTCCCAAGAAACTTGGGAAGTCTAGGCTTGCCCCTGGATTCCACGTCAGAGTCTGAAAACAGTCCCTCTGGCTCGGCGGAGCCAGGGTGCCCTCTGAGACCTGCACAGTGAGCCGAGACCAGCCCTGTCTCGTCGGGGACACAGGTTTGCCCTGGGAACAGCCACACCTGAGCCCGGCTGGGTACTCACATCCCCGTCCCCCTCCCCACCGGGAATTCCATATGCTGTGGCGACAGATGTCCCCATAGCACCCTGTTTCCAAAGCCGGTCACCGTCTAGTCGAGTCCAGCTCCAGGAGGCCATTCCACATGTGTCTGAGCCGGACCGTGCTGCCCAGGGTTTGCAGTGGCTGCTTCGTCGGCAGTGCATCGCCAATCTCTAGTCATGGGCACCCCCAGGGGCTCTGGTTCTGAGTCCTTGGGGTCAGCAGCTGGCTGGATCCTACTGCCATGGTGATCACAGCGTGTTCACCAGGCCTGCCAAACGCCCCCCGCCCACCCTCTCCCTCGCTCTCTGCTCGGGTGCCCGCTCTCCTCCCTTCCACCTTTCAGGGTCTCAGCTGGGGCATGGCAGAGCCCCTGGATGCTGAGCGTCTAGGGAAATGTGGGTCGTCCCTGCCTCTGGGTGGTGACTTCCCTCTGGTCACCTTTCCCTCTCCCCTCCCATCTCCGGCCGTGGGCTATGACAGGCCACCTCTGACCTGTGGTCCCCGTCGTTTTGCCTTGTGTCTCCTGATATGGAGCTGGTGACAGTCCGGGCCATTTCCTCGCCCCCCAACACACACAACACACACACACACACACACACACACACACACACACACATGACTCTAGGGCACAGGGATAAACGCTCAGAGCTGACACTCCTGGAACATCCTAATAAACCAGGTGCTCCCCTTAGGGCCCTGTCCTTCGTCCCTCAGCAGCCCTGGGACAGAAACGCGAGGCACGTGGCATCTCGGCACAGACATGCCTCGTTTCACACATGGTTTTCACACAGAGAAGTTTTGTGGGAGCCCAACATTGACAGGCAAGCCTGCAGGGTGACTCTTCCAGCGGTGCGTGTGGACCCACTTCCGGCTCTGTGGCGCAGTTTGGTGGCTCTCGCAGACTTCATACTTGCCCGAAGCAGAACGGCATACTTTAGACTGTGGTGTCCCTAGCATGACCTTTATGTACCATGGATCCCCAGGAATTCACGTGACTTGGTTGATTGGAACGGTCACTTTATTGCAGCG